AACGATTTCCTGTCATTTTCGTCTTTTCTAGCTAACCTTCCCCCATGTCCCCTGGACGTCATTAATGAATGGCTTCTAATCAAATTTAAAGTTATGACATTTTCAGAAATAATATCAGTACTTATGACGTCCAGTGGGGGGGGGGGGGGGGGGGAAGTCAGCAAGAAAAAAAACACAACAAAAGAATTTCCTAGAATTTAATTGTTCCTTTTTGAAAACTGACCGTTAATATCGGACGTCATAAGTGAACGAACCCTTTATTAACAACGACTTAGTAAGGTACAAAATTGCTTATTAATGAAGACTAATTGTTTCATTTCTGTACCACAGTTCTGTATAAAAAAGTATAAGAATTTGTGAAAATTCTTGAGTTCAAATCTCGACAATTCCTTTAATAAATATGCGTTTGGCATTGAATCGGCTAAAGTTACTTTTTTGATAATAATTCACGTTATTCATCTTTTTTACCTTAATTGGATATCAACCAGGACAACATTCTTGACTATTAGCTCATTTTTTCAACTTTAGTATCTCAAAATCACTTCAAAAACCTTTTAAACTTTTCAAATATTTTCGATTGAAGCTCTTAAACTTTAATTGAATTTACCTTGAATATTTTAGTGGGCGTAATTACCTTGTTATGACGAAAACTTCAACAGAACTCATTCGTTATGATAAATAGATCCAATTTCCATAAAAAAATATACAGCACATTATCTACAATTCTTTACGTTGTATCAATCACGGAAACCAACGAAAAATATTAGCAAGATCATTAAAAAAATTAAGTTTTTGAGCTGAATTTGAAATATGAAAGAAATTTTTCATAGAACAAGTAATTGGAGGATGATGGAAGTATGAACATTGTTTGATAAAAAATTAATATCAGCTCACAATCGTCATGATTGCACCCCCACCGACTCAGACACCAGCCAACAAAAAAGAAAAAAACTTTCTCAATAATTCAAAATACAATTTACAGCTTTAATACGAATATCATTTCTGATATCAACATGACATGATAAGGAGAAGCGAAGGAAAAGTGTAAAAGTAAAGAAACTTTTTTTACATAGCCGCGCACATGTATGCGTGCCTATATATTCATTATTATAATATATAACTTGAAAAGAAAAGAAGAAAAATTTGAGGAATAAGAAGAAAATTATTGTATAGGGATGAAAATTGCTGGTAAAAACATTTCCTTGATGATGAGCGATGAAATATTCCATGCGTGCGGTGCGCATGCGATGTGGAAAAGGGAAAACTTTGTTATGATTCAATTCCTTTCTTTGTTCGAAAATGCGGGCATGATTTTTGAATTTATTGGGTGTTTATATTTTTAAAAAATTAATTTTAATTATTTTGGGGGACTTTGGAATTTTTAAATAATTTTCAAATTTTTGTTATTCATTTTCAGACTCAATAGTGTTCACAGCTCCTTAAAAATTGATAAATTCTTGCATATTGAATTTCGAAATTCCTTCTTGTTATTCGAAAATCCACACAAACACAACGACAACAATTCTAATGCCCAAAATCAGATGAAACTTTTGTACATTTTTCCTGCTCTTACTCTCATAATTTTCCCGATTTTCCATTTGTGATGATTGAAATGGCTACCAGTTTCTGATTTTTTTAAAAATATAAAGGCAAAGAAGAGAAAGAAAAAAAAACTTTCTTTTGTCAAAATTCTAAAATTACAAAAGGAAATGTGAAGAAATTGAGTGAATAATTGACATTTTGTGGATGTAAAGAGTGGAATTTTGTGAGTCGGGATGTGCAATTTGTAGCTAAAAATGGAGAAAGAAATAGAAATCGAGTGGTGAAAAGTAAATAGAATTTTTGTTGTTTTGCAGAAAAAAAATTGTTAAATCTGCCATAATTTTGGGTGGGTTCTGGTGAAAATTTCAATCTTGAATGTCAATTTTCAGTGAAAATTTGTGTTAAAATGTGTGAAAAACAAAGAAAATTTCAATAAAAAAAAACAGGAAATTCCCCCAACAAAGGAAATGGATACGACCCAAAAATGTCATGATTGACTCAAAATTCATTATTTTTTTCTAGTTCCTCCATCAAACAAAACTAGTGCTCATCAGCTATTTTATGTTATTTGAAGCAGTGCAAAAATTCCATCACGAAAATGTCAAAAAATAAATTTTTTTTTCGCTTTTTTTCCTCGCCATACACAAAGTATTGATTTTTCCCATTCTCTTTTACTCCCGCACATCTGAAATAAAGAAGAGAGAAAAATGAATAAAATAAAAAAAAAAGCTGATATATACATTATGTATATAAAAATCAAATAACGAAATGAGATAACAAATTATTGCACTGTTTCCGGTGATGATGAATTTTTTATTGGCATGTAGGGCCGAGTTTTTACTTAAGTGGATGGTTCACTTGCCTGGATTTTGTTTTGAGATTTATTTTTTTGAATTAATAATGCATTGAAGTGAGATGGATTTTTTTGTTGTGTGAATTTCGGGGTGTGTTGCTTGATTTGTGACTTTATAAGTCTGGATCGAAATGTGTACTTTTTAAGGCTTAAATGGTAAAATTCTTTGCTAGCATTTTTAAAAAGATTTATTTTTCGGAATCTTTCTTAATAAATTTAAATTGAGCCAAGAACATAATCTTATGATTCCTTGAATTTAGCCATTAAGACTAGATTTGTAAAGAATTGTTAATTTAAGAGATGCACCTACGCATATCCTAAGCATTACTTCCACTCACTAGCTGTGTTAAAGTCTTTGTTATAAATTTATGCTTCTTAATTTAAGTTCAAAAAGAATTGTAGTCATGAGAAGCTATAAAACTTTCAAGAATGTTAAACAGAGTTTTTAACTAATTTAAAATGAAAGCATTCGAATGCATTATTGGAAGAGAATCATTAAAGTTTAATTTTCTCAAACTAGAGTTCAAACTATTTTAAGTATTCCAAATTAATTTGAAGCATGAGATAATAAGTATTAAAGCATGTGAATGGCCAGGTCGATTAATCGATCAGTAATCCGGCACCAAGCCGATGTGACTCTGGCATGGTGCTAGATTTAAATCAAAGCCATCATTATGCCAGAGTCATACCAGCTTGGTGTCAAATTTTTTTTCGATTAACCGACTTGTGCTATTCGGGGCAGTTTCTACTTACTATGGAGTTGAACATTTGTGCTATTTTTGTGATCTCTGCTACTTATTTAACCTGGTTTGTCATTATTTTTGGAAAAATTGTCATTTTCCAACAATAAAAAAAACAGCAATAGAATTCTTAGAAAACTTATTGTTCAAATCTCCTAAGCCCCCTCAACTTCATAATTGAAATATTTATGTATCGCACATTTAAATTACGTCATAACATAATTAAACGCAAAAGCAGTTAAACTCTAGCAAATTGTTTTAACGAAAATGTAACCGTCTTAGTCATTTAAAAATTAATTTAAAATGTTCGTTAAACGAGAACTAGTTTATTGACTCTAGTCTTGAATTTAGTGGCTTTTTTGATATGAGATGTGATTACAACAAGACAGAAGCTAGCAAAAAATTCTTGAAATTTCTCATTTCGATGTCAAGTCAAGTCATTAAGAAATCATGACCTAAAAAGAATTGAATTTTTGTTCTTCTGAATCAAAATCCAGGGGTGGCAAACAGAAATCTTGCCGTTAAATTTGAATCCACACTAATACTATTAAACATTTTCCAAAAATAAACATTGAATTTGTTTGTTAAAAATTGCCTTATTTACTACTAAGCTTATGATTAGAATATGTTAAAAAGCTTGATCAAGCTTTAGTCAGTATGATTTACTTTTCAAAAGCCAGTTAAGACTGTCAATTAATTGATAAAATATGAATTTTTTGAAAATAAAATTTTGTGGAGTGCGTTTAGAAATTCAAATTTTGAAAATCAACGAGAAAATAAGGTACGTGTTGATTTCTAAACACAGAATTAAATACTGTGCGCCAACCCTGGACAAAATTCAAATCAAAAATATTAAAGAAGACCTCAAAGCATCAAATCTTGGCCTCAATACTGAGTGAGCCTTAAATAAATTCACACAGCAAACCCATTTAATACCTCACATTTAATACTTTTTTTTTAAACTCAAATAAAAAAGAAAATCCATTAAAAGTGCGTAAATACTCTCGACAAGGATTACCAGCAAGAACATCCATAATTGGGGAGGGAGGCATGACAACGAAGAAAATAATGTGAAATGTGTTAATTTCTGACAAATGCTCTCACACAAGCATAAAATAATAATAATGATTTTTTTTTTGAAGATCTTTTGTCAGGCATACGTGAGAAACCGCATTAAAAAAAATTTCCCATTTGCAGGTTTTGATGAAAATATTTATAATGTTTCTGTGAAAATTCCACCTACATACGAGAGGTAGAAAAAGAAGGAAAAATAACAAGATTCATACCAGGACTATGACGACTAAACGAAAGAAAAATGTGAAAATGATTATTTAGATGAGAAATAGGAAAGGAAGTTGTGTGTACAGTGTGAAAGTCCAATTGTAATAACAAGTTGTGTGCTCTTCTTTTTTACAATTCGTGTCGCATAAAAGAAAGAGAAAAAAAAAATCCAATAAAAAAATTATTGGAGCCATCAAGAACGGAAGAGAAAGGAAAGCGTACGAAGGATATTTATTAAATTCCACTCATATAATACGTTCTTGTTCTATATACACACGCATAAATAATTCCTTTCTTCCTTCTTCCTAATGCCATAAATAAAATATAAGCTGTACATAATATACAATTCAGAGTGAGTGATTGTGCTAATGGATAGAAAATTAAATTAATTCCTCGAAGCGTCCTCGTGTTAAAATAGTTATTTACGTAAATAAAGTCATTTACCAAGGAATAGAAGTGAAATAAATAAATTAAATATGTGTAAGTGGAGCCACAAGGATACCGAATCTCGAATGTTAATCATTGTCATCAATGTGTAAATAGCTCACAAGCTAGGAATAAGTTCCGTACTTTTTTTCGGAATAAAAAAGAAGAAAAAATTAAGACTTTTGTGTTTAATTTCTTTGTTCGATTCGTCGTCGTTGTTGTTGTTGTCGTGTGAATGAAAAGAAGACGGAAAAAAAGTTTTGCATGAAAAATAATTAACGTAAGGACATTATGGCTTCGTTAACAAAGCAAATTACGATGAACGTTTTATGAAAGCAAGAGAATAACAAGTTTGGATAAATTTACGAAAAATATATTTTTAAATTCGAGTAGTGTAAATGCCGTAAATGGATCCAAAGCAGCAGTACTGTGCGCCAAATGATATGGTGCCTGCATCTGCCGCAACAGCATCAAAATCCAAGGCACAACTAAACTCAGGAAATTATATTAATGTCGTGCCAATGGCTGTTGTTAATTCTGGTGTTCAGTACCATTCCAGGAGAAAATATCCGCCGCCTCAAATGACACCTGACTATCAGTAAGTTTGTTTTATTCATTTTATATGTTTGTTTATTCAATAACTGTGAATGATGATGTTTTGGTACAATAAACATGGATGATATCAAGGCCATAGAACTCCTTGCACTATGTCTACAATCACTACTTTTTTACTCAACTTTATAAATTTTTACTTATGTTTTAGTACACTTACTATACAATGTATCACAATCACTGCAATTACTAAACTTTACTGCACTTAACTCTTTTTTACTACACTTTACTTTACTTTACTTTACTTTAGTATACTTAAGTACATTTTGCTTAACTTTACTACCCTTTACTACACTTTAGTGCACTTTACTCGTACTTTTCTGTACTTTATTTTTAATCAAATTAATTAGTGCATAATTTCAATCTAAATAGTTATAGGCCTCTTAAACATGTGGTCCATTAATACGTTGTAATCATACTTTCAAAAAACAAAAAATAAAATAAAAGATTTTGCAATCATTATAAAAATTTAAAAGAAAATGTTTAAAAACTTAACTAAAGGTTATAGAATTTAAAATATTATTTTTTTATTTTTTTATTATTCTATCATTTTAAACCATATTTAGCTGATGGAAAAGAAAGAGCTTACAAAAACATAAAGCACTAATGCTACTAAGGCAGAAATAGTTTCATTCATGTCAAAGAAATTTCTAATTGATACCTTTAGTTTGTAAGGAAATTTGTCAAAAATAAAATAAAAGTATAGTATAGAAAAATCGAAAAATTTAAAAAAAAATCTAAAATGTTGTGCTTTTGTTTTTAAAAATGAGTAATTTTAATTGAAAAATTTTTTAAAAAATTATGAAAAATTTTAATTCGAATTGACTCGAATTTGATTTTTTCACGTAAGCTTATATTAAAAAAACTAATGAGGACGATTTGTGTTAAGTTTAAATTTTTAAAAAAAGCTATAAATACAAGCTTCATATAAATTAGTTTCAATTTATTTGCATTTCGAAATTGAATGAAGGGACTGTAGAAAAACAATATTTTAAATTTATTTTGTAATAATATGTTGGCTTTTTATTTCAACAAGATTAACTTTCCAAAAAAAACTTTTTAAAAATATATATCAAAAGTGTTGATAACATTTAATTTTTTCTAAAACCAACAATATCAAAAACATTGATTCTCACTATTCTTTCGTTACTATTCTTCGTAATTAGGAAGGCATCCTTAATGTTGAAATATTTGAATTTAGTTCAATAGTTTTATTTTTTACATGAGAAAAGCTTCATTTATATTTACATTTTAAATATATTTTATATATAAAATTTCAAATAATAAGCGGTTCTTAAGTTGCGATAATATTGACTATTTATAAATAAATTGAATGGTAAAATAAACATTACTTCAAAATTAATTCAAAATCAACTTTAAACATTTTGGTTTTTAAAGTTTTAAACAGTTTTATGTTGCTGCACTTTCTATACTTTTACTACACTTGCTATACTCTCACTATACTGACTATACTTTTACAACACTTTACTACACTTAAACTACACTTGCTACACTTTTGCTACACTTTGCTACATTCTACTATGCTTTGGTTAACTTTGCTTCACTTTACAATATTTAACTATACTTTGCTCATGTTAACTTAATTTTGCGCAATAGTTTGTATACGTTACTGCACAATGCTCACTCACGGGTATACTATTTTGGGAGTTCTATGGCCTTGGATGATATTTTGTCTGCAACTAGTTCAGGGTGATGCGGAGTCAACATGTTTTTGAATCATGTTGGGTACACTCATTTTCTTGAGATGGAGGACGGGATAATAATAATAATAATTTGAGAGGGTTCCAGCCAAGCGGTGTGTTATTAGACACAGCGATAATGTCTTCACTTAATTAAGGTTTCCGACTTTGACCAAAATTAAAGAAACACTGAACGTTGAATAAACCTTTTTAAAAATACTAAACTCAACCTTACCTTAACATATCATTAAACTAATTTACTTCTATGGAAAAAGAAAACAATTGTGACAGCAACAATTCAAAAAGTAAATAGAAGAATGTCAGAAATAATCAACATTCTAAAAATATTTATTGGGTTTGACCCGGTTTGGACAAAAAACTATGAAAATAGTACAAACAACGATTCTTTTGTTTGTTCTTATGCCAAAGTTTAACCAAAAAGTAATTAGATTTAATGGTGGACAAATATAGATTGAAGTGGTGACATAGAAATAAGATTCATTAATTGAATGAGTAAGAAAAGGTTTTTGGACTTAATACTGAATTACAGAAGATTCTTGATTTAAAACTTTATTTTAATAATATTGTCTCCGGATTGTATAATCATTTATCGAGATATTTTCGTTTAATGTAACTCTCAACTGGGACTGATTATTACGCTCCAACATTGTTAAGATCCAAACTGATCAAAATTCATAGTTTAAAGTGGTTTGCTAAAGTTTTCAGGTTCTTGACAATGGTTAAAGTCTAATCGTGTATTTGTGTAAACAAATTGTAATATTTCAATTGAATTCAAAATTCTTATAAAATTGCTTATAAAATGTGAATTCATTGAAACAGTAACAAGCTATTTTCTATGAACAACTAAAAAATTTACATTTAATTTGTGAATGCTGTTTGGGGTCGTTCACTTATGACGTCCGAAATTAACGGTAATTTTTTAAAAAAGAACAATGGATTTCCTGGAATTTCTATTGTTCTTTTCTTGTTGACCCCCCCCCCCCCCCCCCCATCCCTCTTGGACGTCATAAATGAACGGCCCCTTTGAGAATGTACATCATAAAATATTTTCTTTCCTCTCGTGTTGTCGTCATATTAAAGGAATATAAAGGGAAATGCGTACATGTATTGTATAACATATAAGCGCTCATGAAATAAGATCTTGACGTGATGATAGAAAAAAATGTGGATGTGCTGCGACAAAATGAATTATGAATCAAGAGAAAAAGTAAAGAATGAATGGAGAGGATGAAGAAGAAAAATGGTCTGTGAGGAAAAGTATTGAAAAGAGATTGTATAGAGCGCATTTGGGTTAAATTGGATCTTTAAGGTTCAAGTTTTATTCAGCATTTTCTTGTCGGTTCCTCATTAGCTTGAAATTTATTTTCCCATTTTAGTCGAGTATCAAAATCAAGATATTGGGAACTCCTCAGACTTGGTCACTAAACTAATAGCTTAATAAATAGTCTCAGTTGAGAGTTTGAACTTTTTTACAATTACGTCTGTTAAATTGCCGGCACCAAATCGCACATCTATCCAAAATGATCAAATAAAAGCTCATCTTCTCACATTATTGCACAAAAAGGAATATAATATGGATGTAAGGAAAGACGATAAAACTTTAGAGCACAAAAGAGAGTTGAAGGAAGCGAGCAAGAGAAAAGAAAATATAAAAACTGATGTCAGATGAAAGAAAATATTCCATCAAAGCCCTTTAATGTTAATAATATTATTTTTATCTCTCTCTGTCTCTCATTCACATCTTCTTCTTCCATTTCATACATAAAATGACATTTTTACCAAGCATAATGTTTTTTCAATTGAAGGGATGTCATATTAAGGTCGAGTGGGTAAGAATTTATGTTTAGATGTGTGTACCGCACTCAAGTTCCGCTTAAAGTCTACAATACATGTCGATGTATGTGTGGTAAGAGGAAATGAGCATAAAAGCCTTTTTTTTCGTGCTTCCACCAACATGAAAAAAGAGAGAAGGTCAAAGAAGCAATTTTAAGAATCATAAATTATTGCATTAAATAATAATTTATCAAAGAAATTTTTATTACCAACATCAAAAGAGCTCTTAACTTTATTCTTTATGTTGCTTCAGACATTCATGGGACTGGGATTTCTTAATACTTTGCTTGTTCGTAGTACGTCTAAATTTAATTTACGCATTATTATCAGTATTTTTTGAAAGGAGGAAAAGTGTAAATTGGAAGTTGATGTGAGGTGGTAAATGAATGATGAAGTTTAGGAGTTTTCTGGGGAAATGGGAAAATGATATTATACTTCACAATGACGGTATACTTTTTTAAGAATTTTTAAGGGAATATGCAATTTTTGTGAACATCTTTGTACTATTCTAGTGTATTAATCTTTGGGGAATAAATAAGAGTTTCATTGTGTCTAGGGTTGGGGACTTCAAATAACCTATTTCAAAATGCAAAACTAGTTTGAATCCAGCCATTTCGAAATTTGTTCTTTTTCGGTAGTTTAGATACTTCGATTGCTTAATGTACGAGTTCAAGCCATAATTGGTCATTTGAGCAATGTTTTATCGGATAAGAAATTGATCAGGAACTTGAAGTGTAGCGGGAGAAATAGAAATGAGAGCTACAAGATTACCTCATGAACGGAATATTTTCAGAACGGACCTGAAATGTATCTCGCCGACAGAAGATTGAATCGAGAGCCTGAATTTAATAGAAACTTAAGAAATGGAAGCATAATATTAATTCATATGAATATAAAGACATAGAAATTGATTCTTGGATGTGACTTTAATTTTAGAATAAAAATTAATGTTCCTAAAGTCTTAATGAGTCAAGAAACAATCAACCCAGCAGACAACGAGCATACTCAATATTTGCTAAGAAAGAGGGTCAAAAGGGTTTTTATCATCTGAAGCACCATATTAAATCTGCGACCCCCTTGACGTTTAAAGAACACATTCTAAAGTCCTTTTGGTTCAACTTTGAATTTGTCTTTCTGTCGTTTTTTGGTGACTTCAGGAACTAAAATATTAGTTGCAAACTTCTTGCTGCACCGCTGCTACTAAGTATATGCTTAAATAATCCAACTTAGTAAGCATGTGAGGACGTAAACAGGTCTTTGTGTGTCAAAATTCCATTCGACTAGAGATTTATTTTCGATTTAAATCAGGTTTAATTGCTTTAATGTGTCTATAATAGTCCCAAATCTGACTCAACAACACTGCTTCCACTGAATACCCATTCCTTAAATCTGTCACAAAATTTCAATAATATTTAATATTTTATCAATATTCAATTAGTGTCATTCAATCCCCTATTCCCACTAAACGCTCCATAAATCGATCACATTTAGCAATTTCTATTTTTAAAACAAATTGAAAAATTTATTTGTCACACAAAATGAATCATCTTGATTCAAATGTTAAAAAATTCATTGACTTAGAAACTCAGTGACTTTGAAAATTGTTCACATTTGAAATGAGCAGAAAAAGTACATATCTGAGATTTTCATCATTCTGATTTGAAATTGAGATTTTTTGATTCTTTTTGCTGACGATTTTATGAATTAGAGGATGTAATGCTTAACAACGTCATTCGTATATTCGAGCTGGTGATCTAGAGCTGTGTTTATGCAATAGTGGTCGATGCTGAGGCGCTGTTAGGGAACGTTTATCCTTTAAGACAGTGATTACAAACCCATGTGCCGCGAAAAAATTCCAGAAAACCCCTCAAACTTGTATGTTGTTTCTATCATGGCTTGATCCACCAAGGTGTGCTATAGCACAAAAAAGGTTGCTCACCACTGCATTATGGGATGCTCATTTTATCCTAAATTTCAGACTTTTTTTATTACAATTAACAAAACCCTCATTCATAATCCATTCGAACGTGCAACCAAAGCTTATCAATAAGCTTAAAAAAATCAAATGTCAAAGAGATATGAAATATTAGCACACGTCACCTAATCCTAGATTAAAATGAATTGCGTTAAAAAAGAGATAAATCCATTGAATGTTAAAAATATTCTTCTTATCCTCGCATGTGTTTCAATTTCTCTGTTTTCCGTGCTTAGTCTTTTTTTATCGCATCATTTTCATATACTTCTCTGGGCAAAAAGAATCTCAGCGTAAATTTTATTTATATAATGACATTGCAAAATGCTTAAGTGCTTTCATTTGCTCTCGAATTTATTAACATGGCATTGGGGGATTTAGATCGTGGAGCTTTATAAATGAAAATTAAGGTTATGGCGATTGAGATAAGTGAAAGACGATTAAAGATGGGCATATCTAATTACTGAATAAGATGGACGCTATTTGGTAGGATTAATAACAAGTTTACAATTTAGTTGCAAATCTATAAACTACTTGTGCTCAATGCAAAACATTACTGAGCCTGGAAGTTTTCACAAATGTGCCGCGAACAAATTTTTGAGAAACACTGTCTTAGTGCTAAACTAATGTGCACCACTTTTATTAATTCATAATAAATAAAATAAATTCTTCGTAGGGGCCGTTCACTTATGACGTCCGACATTTATGGGGGGGGGTCTAGGATTTTGTGACAGTTCAAACAATGGAAATTTTTTTCTATAGAATTTTTGTGACAGAGGGGGGAGGGGGGTCTAAAAATCAGGTTTTTTGATGGACGTCATAAGTGAACGACCCCATAATAAAATCAATGATTTTAAATCATAAAAAATTGATAAAAATTCAAATCATTTGAAAATAACTCATCCGCTCAACAATTCTACAGAAATTATTTTTTAAGCAAAGATTGAAAGCTTAACCTTAGCAACAAAGTTAATTTCAAATTCATGAACTTCCATAATAAAGTAAAATCAGCTTAGAATCTTGTAAATGTCAAATTTAAAAAGGTAAAAAAAAAATCTTGAATTCCATGAAATTGAAATCTTCTTTGGAAAAAAATAATATTTTCTTCCATTCTTCCAACTCACTAATTGAGAAAATAAGACACAAATTTAATGAAATAGCTAGCTACTGTGGAAACGTTTTTGAACTCAATACTCTAAAGCAGTGATGGACCACCCTATGCAGCAAAAAAAAATCTAGAAATCTCGTGTACTGTGTGAGGTTTTATTCATATCTTACCACTAAAAGGTGCCGTGACACAAAAAAGGTTGTGCACCACTGATTTAAAGCACACAAAAATAATTGCTATTGAATTTCATTGTTATTTCCATATAAATTTAAAATCATCGTCATAGAAACTCAAATCAAATTGTTACACGATCCAGAATAATAAGAAGACACAAGTCTCTTAAAAAATGCGTATCATATTTTACTGAAGGTCGTTCACTTATGTCGTCGGAGATTTAGGGGGGAGGGGGATTTAGGATTTTGTGAAAGTCCAAACAAAGGAATTTTTTTTGCATATAAATATTGTGACAAGGGGGGGGGGTATAAAAATCATGTTTTTTGACGGACGTTATCAGTGAATGACCCCTAAGGAGTTGTTGGTGTTGAGGTGGAGGGAGAGGGGTCTGACATTTTCTGACAGTTCGAATAAATGTTTTTTAATAAATTTATTGAAAGTTTTGGGTCATTTTTCTAGCGATACGTAATTAGCGAATCATGTTAAAGGGTCGTTCATAAATGATGTTTAACTTGTATAGAGGAAGGGGGGGGGGGGGGGGGGGGGGGAAGGAAGTGAATGTTTGACACATTTAGACCAACAAATATTTATTTAAAATAAATTTTTATGGCGAAAGGTGGGCGCAAGTTTAAAAAAAACATCTTTTTGATAACCGTCATTGATGAACGACCCTTAATGATGATTTTTTTTATATGTTGCAAAAAATAAAATATAAAAGAAATTTGATTGATGGAATCAACTTGAGAATAAATTAATGTAACAAGTTTTCTTAAGTGGAATTATAGACGAGAATAAACAAAAACCACAGAGCTTTTGCAGTTGTTTGTCAGTTACGCATTGTTTTGTGGTAGATCTGAATACATAAAGCACCAAAATATTTTTCTTCTTTTTCTTCCTTCGCAAAATTCATGCGCAAAATTGCTTCTCCTTAAAGATGAGAAATTTTTTTGCAACTAAAGCTTTCAATGGAATTCTACGTACTTTATGTTATTCCCTCGAAGGAAAATTTATGAGTTTGAATAAGAACAGAAAATAAAAGGTAGAAAAAGAAAAGAAAAAAATTTTTCATGTTTTTTTTGGGATGTGGATGTGCGTGAAAATGAAAAAGCTTTCAATTTCTAAATTTATTTTATGCTTCATCATTTGGAAATAAATGGAAATCTATCAAGGATTCTTTACTTTATTTTTTTTTTTCTTCTTGCTTTGAGAATGAAATGAAAGAAATTTTTATAACCATTAACGCATGTGTTCATATTTTTCTCATTCTTTTTATCGGTAATATGTTGCAGACATGTGAAATATCTTTATTTCCATATTTTTTTCTCTTTGCTTGCGTTATTACTGCTCGTGTACTCTTTAATGTAAGTTATTTATTTATACGTTGAATATTGAAAATGGCTGTCGAGTGTATGGAAAATATTAAATTTGCTTAAATTTCATACCGAGCAATTAATATGTCATCAGTACAGATATATGCGTTTACAGAAGAGTATCCAGAAATTTGTCGAGGGAGTAAAACTGTTTTTAATGCAATTTCCTATCATGAAAAGACACTATTGGCCGTGCCTTGTCAGTTTGTCTGTATGTTTGCCCAGCTATCTCCTCCTCCAGTTTATGCTTTTTTGAAGCAGTTTTTGCCTTACAATATGTGTATTGTGTCTGGCAAGAGCTGGTCAAAAAATCAGAATGATTGGAGCAAAGGAAGGTTAATTAAATCAAAGATGAAAGGACAGAAAAGACTGTTCCTATGATAGAAGGAAGGTCACTTATGATGTCCATCAAAAAACCTGATTTTTAGACCCCCCCCCCCCCCCCCCCCTCTGTCACAAAAATTCTATAGAAAAATATTTCCATTGTTTGAACTGTCACAAAATCCAAGCCCCCCCTCCACCTTAAATGTCGGACGTCATAAGTGAACAGCCCCATATGTGATTAACCCCTAATTGTTTCATCGTGTCTTTTTAATTCACTCAATCTTTAACCTAGACAACTGCATTAGTTAAAAAAATCAAATTTCTTAAATTTAAACTAGAAATTTCTCGAGGATACCATTGATTTTTTGGTTTTGGTTCTCATAAAATAATACAAAGAGTGTTTTCAACATATTTTAATCGTAAAGCTTATACTAGAGATCCCTTAGTGCTAGAAAGTGACATTATAAATCCTAAACCAATTTAAATTTTCAATGATTCTACAGCTTTTAAATTTGATATCTCAAAAGACCTAGCATTCGTAGTTTTTGATGAAAATCTGTAAAACAGAAATAAATTAAATTATGGAAAAAAGAATAAAAATCTGTGGAGCAAGCAGTTCGCGATAAACTGTTTTATTTGCGACTATCGCACTCATTCAAAATACCAATTCGTCTGTGAAAATTAAAATGTTATTTTACTGAAAAATCAATATCCACATCGACATTCTGTCTATGCTTCAATTTTGAGTGTGTGCAGACAGAAAGCTATTGTAAGTGAGTGTAATGAAATGATTTGTAGACTAAAAGTTGCTGGATTATGTTCTCAAAGACCTTTTTTAGTCAATATTAAAGTGTCTTATCTAGTCGATACAAAAACCAGCATTATGGAATCTATAAAGAATACAAATGGATTCTAAACTCATTGTCGTTTTCAGATGGAGCTTTGTGTTCACCGGGATACCGACTATTGAGGATTAAACACAAAAAAATACCATCATTAAAAAAATCACAGATAATCAACGACAAACTACAGCTTTCTCCACGCAGAAGGTGCCACGAAAAATCAATCTCCTTTTTTTTCCTATGAAATAAATACAAAAATATGTAAATTCATTTCCATATCAATTCCCATGTTTATTCTACCACATTATTTGCGTAATTTCCGTTTCGTCAATACAACATTAACCATCCTTTCTATTTTTAGATCGCGCGTTTACTTTGGTGACTATGTGCGTGATCGATGTCGTGAGGATATAAACAATCCATATTATTCAATTCCACAATCACAGTCAGCACAACAATCGTCATCGCATCATCATCATCATCAGCAGTCCGTTGCCACATCGACAAGTGATGTTGAGCAATTGAATGGCAACATTACAAATAATAACAACAACAATAGTCTAGTTATATCACCGCCATCGTCACTGCAACTTCATCAGTCATCGCAACAGTCATTAGCCTCATCAAATACATCATCAGTGACATCGAGTCAACAGCAGCAACAACAACAGCAGACCATTACACCATCTGTGCTATATACGGTGCAACGCGTTGTTCCAACGTCACAATTACCATCCAATTATGGAAGTAATTCAAATGCATCAAGTCTAAGTAGCATTATAGCACGTAACGAAACAGATTGCGGATTACCGAATAATAATGGTAAGTTTCTCATTCTCTCCTTTTAATATTCATTTGACTTCTATTTCTTCATCACGTTTCTGTTTCAACGTTATTAACTATAATTATCAGTGTAATTATCCTTGTGCTATAAAAAAAATTGGCAGTGCCCATGGCAAAGTTTTTTATGGATATATGTTGAACATAAAGCATATATACATATTTATGTTGTGTTTTTGTAACATGACTAAGGTGAAATTAGCTTCGATTTGGTTTATTTTAGATAGATTTGATTTTTAATTGCTTCGTAGCTCATATTTTCTGAATTTAAATCACCTGTGATCGTCCATAAATGGCATGCATCAGCAAACCTCCAATATGACTTAACCGATGTAAGAACAAAACCTAAAGTTCAAATGAATGTCGGAAAAAAATAAAAATGTCTTGTTTTTTCATTAAATTCTTTTGAAAAATGGATTGTGATTGAAGCTATATCGACACACTAGCTTCATCCATGCAGCGATAAACTCATTCAATATAATTTTTTCTAAATTCCTACTATATAATGTATTTATGTCATTCCTTTACCAAAGTTGTGTACTACAAAGTACAAGAAATAGTCAAAATTCTTGGGTTCGAATCTCAATCATCTTAAGGGCAATTCTACGAGTGAAAAAAATTACAAAATTTCTTTATTCTTTTAAAAAAACTTTAAATATTGACTTTTTACACATTTAAATTAATTAAAATTATGTAAAAAGGTAATGTCTATCATTATGAATAGATCTTATTGGCAGTAAATGGCTGTATGAGGAGATATTTTAATTTTTTACTGTCAATCGGTGGAATTTACAAAAATATTGTACATTAATTTGTTGAATATTTCACTAAATACTCATTTCTGATTTATGTCTCTACCCAAAAGATGTTTGAATTCACAAATTTAACAAACCTTTTACTTAAAACATAGCAGAAATGCTTTAATTAAGCTAAAAATTGTCAAAAACTGTGTCAATCGGTGGAAATTTTACATATTTTCGACTAAGCTTAAAGCGCTTACAAAAATTTAAATTTAAAATTACCGTTGAAATTTCTTTCTGTAATATTCTTTACATATGGAAAAACTTATTTTAATTAGTTTTTCATGCCTCAAAGTTGCCTTAAAGTTTACACTTTAAGAACGAATAATGTCACAATCACGGAGAAATACACTTTATGAAAAGAAACATAATATTTTTATCCAAGAAATATAACGGATAAAAAAAAATTAAATTTTTGCAAGTAGCGAAAACTTACAATGCAAATTTCTGCAGTTCTTTTTACTCGTAGAATTGCCCTTAATAAGACTCACAAAAAATTTTTCATTTCTGAATGTTTTTTGCTTCAGTCACTACTTTGGCTAATACCTCAAATTACTTAAATTTTAAGCATGTATTAAATTTTCTTAGAGTAACAAATTCACACAAATCCATAATGTGAACATGTTGATGGCTAAAACTGTGTGACGTGTATGCATAGGAAGGTCATTATGGATTTTTTTCCTCCTATTTCTTCTTCTTAAATAATTTCTACTACGATACTGCTTATTTTCTGTAGATATCTTCCCCAAGAGCAAAATGATCTGTACCACAATTGTCCTTAATGTGAAAATAATTTTTTTTTCTGTGTCGTTTCTTAGACAACTTTTATTTCGTCTCCTTGGTTCCACATCTTCTTTGTAATATTAGTCAATATACATAATAATAATAATGATGATGATGTAGTTGGAGGGAATATGTTGATGACCAATCATTCTTTCGTCCATTAGTTCATTTAATATCAAATATAAAGGCATTGATAATATTCAATAGGAGCCTTGAATGGACGATAAAGGCAGTAACGACATTAAAATAAATGTCCAACTATCAATGGCCTGATTTAATACATTCTGGTTCTCTCTTTGTGACTAGCCTTGAAATATAAATATACGCATATGCGATAAAAAGTAATGTTCTTTTGCGTTCTCGAATGTCCATATAACATGCTTGTAACATGTACTTCATTGTGATGTAGCTGGTAACTAGCTTAGGGCTTTTTAAATGAACTATCGGATAGTTTTAGAAAAATTCTGACATGTTCCATTTTAGGCAGTTGAAATGTGGAATTTATATGGAAATTCACTGAGTAAATAGAAGAAGTACTGAATGATAAAATCTATGGCAAATGACAACAACCTATCAGAACAGTAAAAATGTTACATTTTACGAAAAAAATACTTTATGTGATGGATTTTTATATAGAAGATGGAAGAGCTTAACTCATGCGAGAATTGTGATTGAGTTAGAAAATATTCAGTAGGCATAAACTTTTCGTCTGTGTTCTCAGAATTGCTTTGAATGTCACAAAAATGTTGAAAATTTGATTCCGGAGCATCTGGCAGACTCGAGAATTCTGCAGAATTCTGGAACATAGTTGTGCAGAATAATTCTGCAGAATTCTCCAGAATTCTGGAGAATTATTTATCAGAATTCTGGAGAATTTTTTGAAAAATGTCACGCGACACATTCGCAACATAATTTCAGAAAACAGAATTTTTTAACAGAATTCTGGAGAATTCTGGACAAATAATTCTGGAGAATTCTGTAATAGTTTTTATATAAATTGTCAAAAACACCCTATACAACTGTAGATAACAGATGAACTTCCTTCGTTACGTAAAAATCAAATTAAAGCTGTAATTTACAGATGGTGTTTATAGCTTAGCTGCTGAGCAGTCCTTACAGTTGATGTAATTTCACGTGAATTCCGCTGGTTTTGACTATGACATTTCCTTTTACAAAAAAATTGAATAGAAAACAAGGTACAGTAGCGTGCAAAAGTTTGAAAACGATTGGTAATTAATAACTTTAAATGCTTTCTAGCACGAATTCAATGAATCGTTATGTATAAACATAAAATTAGCATTATATTTTTTATTTGAATGAAGCATTCAGTTTTTGGTTCTATTCCGAATGACACAAGTCGGTAAATTAATCAGAAATCCAGCATCAACCTGGTGTGACTTTGGCATGGTGCTAGATTTAAATCGAAGCCATTCGTAAGTATTTCCTAGGTTGTTTACTATCATTGTTTAGGTTTTTGTTTCCAGTTTTTATTCTTGTATTATTTTATTTATATTTTAAATGTTAACATCCAGAGTGAAAAATTTGATTTTTATAAAACTGTAAACTCAACTGTAAGTACTGCTCAGCAGCTAAGCTATAAACACCATCTGTAAATTACAGCTTTAATTTGATTTTTACGTAACGAAGGAAGTTCATCTGTAATCTACAGTTGTAGCTAAATAGCTAATGCTAAATAGCATAGGGTGTTTTTGACAATTTATATAAAAACTATTACAGAATTCTCCAGAATTATTTGTCCATAATTCTACAGAATTCTGTTAAAAAATTCTGTTTTCTGAAATCATGTTGCGAATGTGTCGCGTGACATTTTTCAAAAAATTCTCCAGAACTCTGATAAATAATCCTCCAGAATTCTGGAGAATTCTGCAGAATTATTCTGCACAACTGTGTTCCAGAATTCTGCAGAATTCTCGAGTCTGCCAGATGCACTTCACCCGAAAATTTACATTAAATATTCTGAAAATATTTTTGAGTCTTTCATTTTGAATAATTTGTAATTTTCTAGACTTTAAGAGAAAGAATTTTGTGACAAGAAAAAATCGAGAAATCCCACGAAGCGTATGCCTGTACACGACGTGGCTTGCCATCAACGTGTGCCGTAGCACAAAAAAGTTCGGTACCATTGATCATAAGGATTCAAATCGATTTATACAACACTATAGAAGTTACAACCCTTGCTTCGTAGCTCTTGAATATAAAATCTGGTTCTTGGAAAGAATCAACTTTGTTAAACTCAATCTTACTCCTTTGATGAATTTTTCAAAATCTAAGAATTGAATTGTTCGCTTCTTGTGCTTTCAACACCCCAGACACGTGCTCAGTCAATACTTTCTTTCTATTTATCTTTCAATCCAATCCGAATCAATACAAAATTGAAAATTTTGAACAATATTTGTCACTTCCTTCGTCATTTTCCCCCAAAAATGTGTCCTTGAATATTCTATACCGACACGTGATTGCTTAGAGTTTCAAACTCAAAGTCAGATTAAACCGTAAATTGAAAATATTTCTCGGAAGGATATCCACGTATTTCTAAGCAAGGCACCATGAAGTATTTAACGATAGCATTCAAAATGAAATGAAAGAGAAATGCTTCAATGAATTGTTTTCAAGAAAAATGAATGAGACCGGAAATCATGGAAAATGAATACAATGAAGGCAGGTGTTGCCCGCAAAAAAAAAACTAAACAGTGAATGTAATAATCGCTTCTAAAGTGATAAATGGAATAGAGAAAGTAACGACAAAAATGCTTCAATTTATCAAAACTCTCAATTTTACTTCAAGGTCGACACAAGGAACGAAAAGCAATGATAAGAAGAATTTATTTAGCCATGTCAGTTTCGTAATGGAATGAAATTTTTTTGACACTTTTTCGATTCTTCTATTATCTCGATACAAAAAAAGTAAGGAAAAGAAAAGAAAATAAAATGAAATGTGTTCAAAATCTGATGATGGATAAAGATTAAGTTTTGCACATGGAATCGGTACCGAGATGTACATGGATTGAATGGAGACCAGACTGTTTGAGTTACAAGCTTCATTTAATTGTTTTTCTTGAAAATTTTTAAAAAATATAAAAATAAAGAATTTTTGAGAGGTCGAAACCGACATGAGCGCTTCAGTTCGCTAAAAACTGATTCGATAACCGGTAAATTTGTATAAAATTTAATACTTCACAAGTAGCAACAGAAAAAATTCTATTCAAATTTGAATCGGTTTTTTAGCGAACCAAAACGAATTCATTTCGGCTTTGACCTCTGGAATTTTTGGCTCAACACTCCCGTTAAACCTCTTCAGCCCACTCATTACTCGAAATAACTCTGGATTCACTTTTGTGTTGCATTATAAGCTCAGTTACTACTGAGTATCCCAAGGCT